GTAGAGATGGGGTTTCACCATGTTGACCGGGATGGTCTCGATCTCTTGACCTCGTGATCCACCCGCCTCAGCCTCCCAAAGTGCTGGGATTACAGGCGTGAGCCACCATGCCTGGCCACTTTTTGTTATTTAAAGTCAATTTTTAAAGATATTAAGCCAGGTGCTGTGACTCACACCTGCATGATCACCATGGGAGGCTGAGGCAGGAGGATGGTTTGAGCCCAGGAGGTCTAGGCTGCAGTGAGCCATGATCAACACTGTACTCTTGCCTGGGTGACAGAGACCCTGTCTGAAAAAACAATCTATGCCCCCCCGGTGAACTCTTCCCTAAACCCCAGTCAAATATTGAAAACCAGAAACAGTGTTGTTGCCACATTTAATTTTTATGTTCATTATAAAAATTCTGTTCAGACATGGTGGCTCATGCCTGTAATCCCAGCACTTTGACAGGCCAAGGCTGGTGGATCACCTGAGATCAGAAGTTCAAGACTAGCCTGGCCAACATGGTGAAATCCTGTCTCTACTTAAATACCAAAAAAATTAGCCAGGCATGACGGCAGTTGCCTGTAATCCCAGCTACTAGGGAGGCTGAGGCACAAGAATCGATTGAACCCAGCCCAAGATTGTGCCACTGCACTCCAGCCTTTGCAACAGAGTGAGACTCCATCTCAAAAAAAAGAAAAAAAAAATTGGCCTACACACACACACACACAGTTTCCTCTATTATAAACATTTTTCCTTACTGTGATACATTTGTTACAATTGATGAAACAATATGGATACATTGTTATTAACCAAAGTTCATAATTCACATAAGGGCTCACTCTACCCTGTGCATTCTTTTTTTTCTGCCTTGTGCATTATTATTATTTTTTGAGACAGCGTGTTGCCCTGTTGCCCAGGCTGGAGTGCAATGGTGTGATTTCAACTCACTGCAACCTCTGCCCCCCTGGTTCAAGAGATTCTCCTGCCTGAGTAGCCGGGACTACAGGCACCCAACACCACGCCTGGCTAATTTTTGTATTTGTAGTAGAGACAGGGTTTCACCATATTGACCAGGCTGGTCTCAAACTCCTGACCTCAGGTGATCCGCCCACCTCAGCCTCCCAAAGTGCTGGGATTACAGGCATAAGCCACTGTGCCTGGCGCCTTGTGTATTTTTGTATACTCTTATATGTTTTGATGAATGTATAGTGCCAGCTATCCCCCATTACATGCCATACAGGGTCGTTTCCTTGCCTAAAACTCCTGTGCTTCCCCTGCTCATCCCTCTCCCCCTCCCCTGAAGCCCCTGGCAACCGCTGATCGTTTTACTGTTTCTATAGTTTGCTTTTTTTCAGAATGTCATGTAATTGGAATCATACAATGAGTTTTTTCAGAATGACTTCTTTCACTCAGCAATATGCATTTAAGGTCCCAACATAGCTTTCCATGGCTTAATAGCTAATTCATGTTTAATTTGAAAAATATTCCAATGTCTGGATGTTTCACATTTTACCCATGTACTTATTGAAAGGCATCTTGGTTGCTTCCAATTTTTGGTTATTTTATTATTATTTTTTGAATCGGAGTCTCTCATTCTATTGCCCAGGCTGGAGTGCCAAGGTGCGATCTTGGCTCACTGCAACCTCAGCCTACTGTGTTCAAGTGATTCTCCTGCCTCACCCTCCCAAGTAGCTGGGATTACAGGTGCCTGCCACCACGCCCAGCTAATTTTTGTATTTTTAGAGCCAAGGTTTCACCATGCTGGCCAGGATGGTCTCAATCTCCTGGCCTTGTGATCCACCTGCCTTGGTCTCCCAAAGTGCTGGATTACAGGGGTGAGCCACCATGCCCAGCCTGTTTTTTATTTTATTTATTTATTTATTTATTTATTTATTAAAGATGGTGTTTTACCATGATGGCCAGGCTGATCTTGAACTCCTGACCTCAGGTGATCCACCCACCTTGGCCTCCCAAAGTGCTGGGATTACAGGCGTGAGCCACCGTACCCAGCCCTGTTTTGCGTTTTGAGACAGGATCTTACGCTGTCACCCAGGCTGGAGTGCACTGGTAAGATCACAGCTCGCTGCAGCCTCAACCTCCTGGGCTCAAGAGATCCACTCACCTTGGCCTCCCCAAATGCTGGGACTACAGGGCATAAGCTGCTGCACCTGACCTCACGTTTTTAGCTGAATACTCCTTGTGAACATCTGGCCCTGCTTTACTCACCCTGCTTCGTCCCATTGACTAGATCTGTTTCATTGTGGTGGTGTATCAGACTTTAGCAAGCTCCTTACAGATCTTCCTAATCTTTCAGTATCATAAATAATGTTCTAATGAACACGTTTATACATATAGCTGCATGTATCACCTCCTTATAGACTCCAAGAAACATTTTATTATATGTGATAGTGTGTCAGGGACTTCAGCTGCTCCACTGGGTGATTCTTCTGTCCGATGTGACAGAACAGAGATCACGGGGGTGGCTGGA